ACGCAAACGGCGGATACAATACAAACGTTTACGAATTTTAATAGAAAAGCTTTCAATATGAAGAGTAAATGAGGGGTTAGATGCCAGAGTAATACCAAGGCACAGGACTCTGGTTGTGCTCAGAGCACTACAATCATCAGGTCAAAATCTCAAGTTGTAGGTAGACAACTGAAGGCATATGTGGGAAGGATTTAGTGTGCACAGACCTCCTAATTGCTGTCTCATGTGGTAGTGGCCACCGGCGAAGTCAGGGCTACTGTATCGACCCAAGCAACGCCCACAGAAATGTCTAAAATTATGGGGGGAGGGGAGATATTCGTGCGGGCTGGGAAGTGCGAAAATGCCGTGAGGGGCATAACTGCTACCCATTGCTGCTAATCCCAAAAATGTTTCTGTCCGAACCCTTGATGACTCATCAAAGACCACAGAAGCTTCATTAGCATGCCATAGTCCGTCCATCCATCTGGTCTACTTTGTGTCTCCTAGGCAGTATCCCTCTGTTAAAAGAGGGAAATATGTCCGGAATGACCGACACTTGGGAGGTATTCGTAAGGCTATCGCAGACGGTTAAACTACCAAGGTAAACTCTTGCTACTACGATCTACGGGCCCGGTTTCCTGGGAGCAGAGAAGACATGGGAGGCTAGAGTGGTAGGAGGAGTGTATTCTGTACAAAAAGAGTGAAGATTATGGGGGATGGAAGTTGACACTCGGACGGGCTTGCATTCGGTCGAGGCCGGCATCGGAAGACTGAGAGTGCGGGGTCGTCCAAACACTTACAAAGTTGCTTTTACGTGAGTCAGCCTCAGAAAGATGATTGGCCAGACCAGACTGGGATTGACCTAGGTGTGCCCATGTACGCCTAGTCGCGAAAAGCCAAAGGTTGAGCATTGGTGAGTGCGCGCACATTAATCAGCGCGCGGGATCGAGCGTTGACGCAGGTTGCGGCCAGCGAGGCCAGGCGACCGAGTCTGCCATCACGTGTCTGACGTTACGCGTTAGGATGAAGTAGGGCTACAGGCACTTCAGGGCAACTTACTCAGTGAACCTCAAAATGGACTAGGTTTTAAGTGAGTTGTGGCGGCGTCAGTCGACCAATGCCATATATAGAAATGGAGCTAATACTTACTCCTGTTATGTCCCCCAGTTGTACGTTAGGAAGAGAAGACAGACAGGATATCAGAGAACAGTTTACTGTAACAGTTTCGGCTTAAACTTTGTGGGTGTCTCTCAACTTGTTCCGTGTCCGTCAGCAAGTCGTCCTGTCTGCAGCTTGTCTTCTGTCGTCGGCAGCGCACTCTCGTGTCGGTAGCAGAATATGCCTATTGTTCGCAGCCCCGCATTTAAGGGGCAAGCAGTCTTTGTAGCCTATGTCTCTTCTTATTGGTCCCTGTACGAGGCGCTTATCCGGGTGGGATGCTATTGACCTCAGTGCGACACGTGGCGGCCTTTTACGCGTGCGCTTGGCCCGTTCTGTATGCGTCCTTTGACGTGTGGGCTTTCTTTGTTATCTTGACCTCAGGACGGCCATCGGGTGCAGGTGGAACTCTCAGCGAGATGCATAACTCGGCCCGCGTGTTCATGGCTCTTTGCAACAGCCGGCTTACGTCTGTTCGTGGCCCCTTGTCAGGCGTGACCTCAGGATGACAAGGGTGATGACTCGCGTGCTGAGCCGTCCTAACACTCAAATCTAGACCCAACTTCCCTTAGAATTTTGTACCGGTCCAAATATAATTCAAACGAAATACTTAAAGGCTTGTCTTGCTGAGTTTTGCAGCAGGTGTTTATGCCTTGCCCACCGAAAAAAAATTAGCAAAAAAGGGTGAGCAAATGTTCCAGTGTAAAGATGTTTGTTTGTTAAATAGGCTGATGATATGGTTGTTGGCCGTCCCCTTAAAATTCAGATACATCTCCAAGTACTGAATGCTGGCCTGGACCACGGTTCAGCATGGGCATCAGCAAATGACCTTCTACTTAATGACCGGAAGTCAGTCCAGTGTGTTTTTCGACTGCGACCCCCTCCCAGTCCTGAAACCATTAACATTCTGCCCAACGAGGTATCCTCGTTCCAGTACCTTGCTGTTAGTCTAGCATCCAACTTCTAATTTACTCTTCATATTGAAGGCCTTTGTATTAACATCCGTAAACTTTTATATTATATCCGCCGCCTGAAATCATATCGCACACCACATGCCCTAATCTGGCGATTTATAGACGCCTGCATTCTCCCTCTCATTCTTTACTTCTCTCCAGTTATTTTTTCAGCTTAACTTAAAAAAGACCTGGTTATATTTACACGTATCCTCTGAATACTCTTTTCAGCTGCTGGTGATTTATATGCTTTTTAGCTGACATTATTGTACAGCACCACTTTAAAACGGTCAAGCAATTTGCTGATCGCATCTTTAGTGAGGTCGCTCACCCTCTCCACCCTGAACTAATGGCTGCGAAGTCTTCTCGTACAATGCGCCGCATCTTCCGTCATATTTCATGTCGTGCATCGGCATATCAGCACTATGTATTCCCATTCCTAGCACACTATCTCACGTGTGAAGAAATGGAAATGGAGAAGTTGAAAGCCGACCTGTCTCCAAAACAGATGTGGATATCGTGTAAACCTTAACTTCGAGTATTCTAGGACATTTAACCTTACCTTATCCCTTGCTTCCCGTGAATGGAGCCATTTTTTGCTGAAATTTTGGACAGTACCTTCAAAATAAAGCATTATCTTTCTCCCTCTCTCAAGAAACATTGTCAGTTGACTGTTTTTATTGCCCCCCGTAGGAGTTTAGATCGACCCTCGTCAAAGTTCGCTACAAGGACTTACCGCCAGTCAAGCGTTTTGGGCTCAGAGCCATTCTAGTCGGAAATCCGGGAATGCGTCTCGCAGCTGCCAGGACTCAAGCCGCCGAAGACCTGCGGAGCATCGAGTGTCTGGGCCGCTCTGGCGTTTTCGTGCAGGATTTGCCGGATCCGGTCTCGGGGGGATTTCCCAACTCCACCTGTGGATTCTACCTGGAGCCCGATGGTGTATGGCCGACAAGCATGCAGAAGGGGCCGCCCTCCGTGACCATGAAGGAAAAAAGGACGACGATGCCCACGACGGCGGCGGCACGAAAAACCATCACGGACGAGGTCTACGTGCCGCAGAGTTATCTTGAAGCCTACAACTGTCGACCACCGCCGTTTTTTATTCCCATGGTCGTGATAGCACAAGTAAGTCATATACTCGTTTATGTTTGCCCTCGACGCAACGATAGCACTGTTGACAAAGGAAGACTGTAATGGGCATTTCCAGATCCTTGTCCGTTATCAGCCAATCATATCTAACCCCAAATGATGCACCAACCGATGCTCAAACACGCGACCTTTTGATCAGAAGTTTAACGTCCTTACCACTGAGCCACGAGCTTGTCGGTAACGTTGAAGCTAACTGGCGCCGCCGAAGGTAGTAAGCCAACGGACTGTGTACAGTGGCCGTTGGCGTTGATCCTTCGATTTGTCCCAGGTCAAGAATGAGGTTTGTCAGACGTGTCGCGGCAGGGGGGAGGGAAGAAACCAACTTTGTGAAATTACTGCTGAAATTGTAATTTTCTTCTTCTGAGCTTTCGGGCTCTTGCGAGAGTCCATCGTCAGAGATGAAACGTCAACGAAAAGCGAGCAGTAGTTATAGGGGCAGGAATCAATCAACTGTTATAGGGGAACGGGGGCGAAGAGAAGGGGGAGGGGAGGAAACTCATTATTCAGCAGTGTCGGCCGTACGTATATGCCTGCGAAGGGCGATGTATGCGAATGCCAAATCAGTACACCGGTTGAGTGAGCCGTCATCCGACGACCCTACCTCCGAGGACCCGACCAGAACCAACCCCTACGCTATGGCATGCGCTGTCATACATCAAGGATGTGTCGGAAACAACCGAGTGCATTGCTGCGGGACTAGGGGTCGGAATTTCACACCGTCCCAAGCCTACCATACACAGCTGGATCATAGGAATAAATGACCGATTGAGACCCAGTGAGCAGTCGGGCGTAGTGTATCGCATAAGTGGTCTAAACTCTTCCCTAAATTGAACCGGACAGACTGGACGAATGCTTGGTTCTCGCATACACGAACAAAAGCTGGCTGTCAGACGGGGGGACGCATTGTCGTAAATGGCGGTCTATGACACGGGCCACGAATCTAACTTCGCAGCCGCAAAGTTAATTGCTCACGCCGGCAGCAAGACAGGACGTGAGCTAATTGAAGCCTGGGCCTCGGATGACAACTTCGTCAACCGGTGTACTGAGCTGGCGCCCGCACACATCGCCCTTTGCAGACATATACGCACGGCCGACACTGCTGATTAATGAGTTTCCTCCCCCCCCTTCCCCTTCTCTTCGCACTCTTCTCCCCCTTCTCCCATAACAGTTTATTGGTTCCTGCCCCTCTAAGGGTTGCTCGCTTTTCATTGATATTTTATCTCTGAAGGTGAACTCCCGCAAGGGCCCGAAAACTCAGAAGAATGAAATTACAATTCCGGTGATCGAAATGCCTTTGGCTTCTATGCAAATACCTGGGATACGAACCTTTGTCTCTATTCCTAACTCCTGAAATCTTAAAACATATTTTTCTTTAAAAGAATAGGTAGGGGATTAAAAAGCGTTGAGTACGTGGTATAGTGTCGTCAGTCAAGGTATGAGCGATGGCAAGTGTGTGTCTTGTTGAGGAATTATTGAAAGATGACGAAATCGACAACCGAAGGTGCACCCAAATCAGAAGTCAGGGAAGACTGTTAAGGTTGGACAGCGTGTAGTGTGAGAAAGAGGTTACAAGGGGCTCTACAGCAACGGTTTTGCTCACAGTCTCCTTAAGCCAATTGTTGTTGTGTGTGCGTGCGGGAACCCAGGGCCATGTTCCTTGTCGCCTGCAGCCAATCAGGAAATCATGCACACTGATTGGCGTTGAGCTTTCGCAGACCAAAGACAAGAAGACATGCGTGTGGCCCTGCGGCGGATCGACCAGGAGCGTGGGACGGATAATAGTACGCGGGGTAGATTGTCACGCGCGCGTATGTAACGCTTGGCAGGCAAAAGGTGATTCAGCGCAGTGAGGTTGATCACAGCCTGCCACAGGACTTTGAAAGTGTCTGTTGATACCTTTGAAAAGTTGCCAAAAGCCATTATATTTGCAGCCCTCAAACGCTTTGTCTCAATGCCCGAGGCGAACAAGGTCGCAGGAGAAGGAACTCATTTATTGTGTTCCTTGTACGGGTATTTAAGCAAGCAAGTTTATATGATCGGAACAACCAGATTGTGTCCTTGAGCA